CGGCGACCTGGGAAATCAGTGAAGCTCAGTGTGGTCCGCGCTCCCCGGCATTGCTCAGCTCCAGAAGGGATTAAGCCCTTACAAATCTCTGGCCTCCTGGGAAAGGCAACTCGGAGCGTACAGCAAACCCATAAGGAAAGCTCCGTTTCTCCAGGGAGAGATGCAAAAGCCACAGCCAATACTCTGCAGGCTTGTGGGCGGCAAAGCTCCTGCTAGCAGTGGGATCACAGAATTCCGTTCTAATCCCAGGTACATTAACCTCACTGCTGTCAAATGCACTTGCTCCAGATTTCAACAGGAGCCAGGAGACCACAGCCCGTTTTGAATTCCTGCGCGCTGCCCTGGCTCCTCATTCATATTAGAGCGTGTGGTGAATTATAAGCAGGGGAAACGACGCACATCTACTTCCCTGCCCTTGAATTCAGTAAAATGCACATTAAACCTTCAGCTTGATAATACGTCCCTCAGCCATAACGAGCAGAGCCAGGCTCGGACCATTTACACACATTTCTGTGTTTTACTGCGTGCTGAAGATCCCTCAGGCGTCACAAATTCATGCTCGCGTCAGCAGTTTTACATAGGCAGAGTCCACAGTAAAAAATATGGTTATTACCTTTTCGTGTTGTGGATTGTGGTCCCACCGAGGACGATTCGGACCCCCGGGTTGGTGCGGTTGAGGTTATAGACAGTCAGCGCCTCTTCATAAGTTGCCCCTCCGATGATGAACACGATAATGTCTTGGGGCCTGCAAGAAAGACGCAAATGTTGAGACGGGATGAGACAAAACACAGGGATAAATCCTGTACCTCTCACAGGCGCTGAGGAAACGACACTGCTCATTTCTCTCCCCAGACCATGTCGCGTTCCTGTGACGCGCCGGGCTCAAGACTGACAACAATGTGTAGCCCATTAAATCACTTTTAAAACATTGTCTCTCCTAAACATTTACACAACGTGCTAACAGTCCTTAAAAGCCTCCTCAGCACCACCCCCACGCTGCATCCCTGTGGAGCTCCACCATGACACATACGCCAATGTTTAATGCATGACCGAGACGCTGCTGCGGCTGTTAAATTAAGATCAATTCAGGAGTCAAACGAGGACAACGGTGGTGCTTCAGACCTCTCGGGCTTGGTTTGAAGGGCACGGATCAGCTGCAGCTTTGCTGGCTGATGGTGGAACCGCTGGGATTTGCGCCTAAGTGCACCTCTGAGGTTGTGTTTCCCTAGCCAGCCTAGAAATACAGGATGACACGGAGAAGTAGCGTGGGGGGAAAGGGGAGGAAGGAGGGAAGAGCCTTCATCCGATAAAACACAAACCCAGCCATATGCCCTGCACTTTCTGCTCTCCAAGGAAGGCTGCGCCTTCCTGGCACCACCCTCCCCAATCACTGAAGTTTTCCACTCTCAGGGACAGCAGAATGTGCTTGCAACCCACAAACCCACAAGGAAGAAGTTCTTTACACTGAGGGTGGTGAAACCCTGGAACAGGTTGCCCAGAGAGGTGGTGGAGGCCCCATCCCTGGGAACATTCCAGGCCAGGTTGGACGGGGCTCTGAGCAACCTGATGTGGTTCAAGGTGTCCCTGCTCCTGCGGGGGGGTTGGACTAGATGACCTCTGGGGGTCCCTTCCAACCCAAAACATTCTATGATTCTAAACCAGCTCTGCTACCATCCACACGCTGAGAGAACGATTCCTGCAGAATCCACAGGGAAAAGGCGTGGATGACGTCCCGCCAGTCATCTGCCTGTGTCGGAGCGGTCAAGTCTTTCTGTTGCAGACTTAAAACTCATCTCTGCTTTGCAGGCAGGGACTCCTACTAGAGTAGAGCTGCTTGCTGCAGTGGTGGAAGCGGCAGGCGTTCCTCTGCTCTGTCTGGGCGAGCTCTGGATCAGGGACAAAGCCAACAGAGCGTGAGACAGGGACGACCCCGCAATGCGCCTAAACTCCGTGTCTCCGGTTGCTGCCTGCTGGGGAGCCAACCTGCAAAGCCCTTGACACTTGTTACTGTCCAGAGGAGTAACGCGTGTGTCGGAAGGACGAACATCACGGAATTCCTTCCTGTCATCACTGAACGGGCAGTAACTACCAAGAGCAAAACCGCTTTGGCCATCAGAATGGGGCGCTGGCTCAGAATGAGCGTGTGAGCCACCAGATCCACCCAATGGCCTCCCTGCCCTTGGAGAGGATGCAGAAAGGGAAGAAAAATTAATGGAAAAGATTAGCGTGCACCCCTTCCCAAAGTGATCCTTGTTACCCATAACCTTCCAAAGCGTACATCTTTTCAGAACATTTGGGTTAGGTCTGCCTTAGATGGCTTGGACAGACAAAAAGAGATTTCAGAGATGCTTCAGAAGGCGCCGGTAGCAGGGTGGAGAGGGAACGCTGCAGCCTCGACGCCTGGGACGTGGGATCCCCGCAGCCTCGATGCCTGGGACGTGGGAACCCCAACCCCTCAGGCACACCCCCTGGTGAAACCCCACGTCGATGCCTGGGACGTGGGATCCCCGCAGCCTCGACGCCTGGGACGTGGGATCCCCGCAGCCTCGATGCCTGGGACGTGGGATCCCCGCAGCCTCGATGCCTGGGATGTGGGATCCTCGCAGCCTCGATGCCTGGGACGTGGGAACCCCAACACCTCAGGCACACCCTCTGGTGAAACACAGCGTTGCTAATTCAGTAACAAAAAGCCGCTGCACTCAATGCAGTTCTTCTGCAGGTGCTGCACAGTTTGTTATCCTCGGAAACTACAATTCTACTGACGGCCGAGACTTCCAGCTGCAGTTTACTGCACGGCTTCCTTGGAAAGAACGAGGCTCAAAGTGGAATCCTTTGTGGAGAAGTCCACGACAGCAGAACACGCTGTGTTGGATGGCTCACGCCTGCGCTCTCCGGACAGAGCAGCGAGTTTTACCCTGCACACGATTCACCCTTGCAGCGGCGTAGGCCGTGCTGCCCTCGGGGCTTCAGCAACGCCGTCTGTGCCTTCTTCACTTCCCTCCCGGAGCCCCAGGATTCGGTGCAGCTCATCGCTCCCTGCGGAGCTGCACTGTGTCCCCTGCACGGCAACAGCCTGTGAAATCTTCTGCACTGCAGCCTTCAGATAAGCAGGTTATATATAGCAACCGCACATTCGGGTGGTGCGGGTTTCACACATCTCACTGAGGCAGACAGAGGGTTTTGCACCCTAGTGACAACGCAAGTCACCGAGCCGGCCCCGGAGGACAGGAGAGCGCTGTACCCTGTCCTTTCAGCTACGGTCAGGCTTTGGAAAGCAGACATGCCCAAATCTTTTGGGGAGGGAAATCAGAGGGAAGAGGCGGCACAGCAATGAAGCAATCTGGTAAGCTGCTGTTAGTTGTCAGGAAAAGTACAGCCAACATCTCCACAAGCCCACTTTTATTGAGACACGTGTAAAAGATGTGCCAAGTAGGCCACGCCGCCATTCGCTTCGTAGGGAGAATGCCTTTTAGGCTCAGAAAGGTCCAGGAAGCCAGTTCGGACCTTTAGGGTTAGGGAGCTGTTACTACTGGGATCACTGGAGCAACACAGAAACACACCAGGCAATTTCTTACCAAGAGAAGCTGATCTCTACGCTGGGCTGCAAACTAAATGGGTAACGCCTCCGGGACGCTGGGTCGCAGGAAAACTTCCCGCTCGGAGATCATTTCCTGGGCTGCCTCTACTGCCCGTGCAGCCGCGATTGCAAGGCATCAGGGCACAAAACATGCTTATTTTTGCTTTTACGTCGCTGCTGCCTTTCTTACAGGATTAAGCCTGGCACGGGGGAGCGGGGGCAGAACGACAGCCTCTCTCCCACTTCAGGTGCCTTGCTCGAAGCCTCCGGCGTTTACCCTGCAGATTTCTCACAGACCAGAAGCGAGCTAAGTCAGGCAGAGACAGACTGCTACGGAAAGAACAAAAGGATCTTGGGTGTCCTCATGAAGTGCCTAGGGAATTACTGCTTCTATCAAGGGCAAATAATAAGCAATTTCGGAATAGGAAGAAACCCCAAGACTGTTATAGGATTAGTGGGAAAGCAATCTACAGCAACGCTCGCTCCAGCTGTTGCGCTCCTCAGACCCAATTTGTGGATGTGGCTATGTATCTCCTCGGGTTAACTACCAATTTAACAGCTAAATGCTCCAACACTACAGACAGGAGGAAAAAGCAACTTCCTCGAACAAACAAGGAGGACACGGTCAGTGTTTTGCCTTCAAAAAAAAAAAAAAAAAAACAAAATCCACCAAAGGCAAACCATACTAAATGCAAGCGAATATATCTATGATTTAGCAACAGCGCTCCTTTCCCTAATCTTCAGGGCAGTATGCGTGAGCTCAGATGAAAAAGCACGCAGCCAAATGGTTCCACATCACATGCTGCATGCTGATGCTTCCAAAAAAGGAGATTTCACATTCGCTGCCTAAGGAGATACCTCACCCATCCCTGTGGATGTGTGTCAGCTATAGGCGTTTCTAAACAGCTCCAAATTCCTCCTCTCCTCAAGCAGACAACAGGAACTTTCCCTTCAAGAAAATCAGTGGGAGAAAGATCGTGTCCAGCCTGTAAGTCATGGAATACTCTAAACTAGATGATACCTGCGAGTTCTCACGTTCCACGTTTAAGTCTGGACTTTGATGGGCTTTCGGACAAGGTAACTTTCCAAGATTTTTGAATAAGCAGGTAGGCAATTGTGGTGATTTGAGAGATGGAATGAGCCGAGTCCCATCTGGATCCCCAGGGAGCAGCACACCCTTTCCTACCGCTATCCCACAGGCTGCCGCCCGGTTCACGCACAATGTTGAGGATCCGCGTTTGGTTTTAAGAAGTGTAGCAGTGGTGGCAGAGCTCTCCTGTGGCCTGATCACGGACTTGACTTTGTAAGAAGCAGGCTCCAGCCATCCTGGGTTAGCAGCGTCAGGCCCAGGTGGGCTGGGCTGGTGGGGACAAATGCCCTCTTAGAGAAAATCCCAGGTCAAAGCACAAACAAAACAAAAGCTCCCTGCAAAGGGCAGGCTTTGGCAGAGCCTGGCAGCGGAGCACGCCGGGCTGGCAAACCTGGGGAGGCAGCTGGGGCTCCTGCAGGCTGCGGTGACCCAGAGCGGCTTCAGGAACTTTTCTAGCGAGTACTTTCCAGTGGCAAAGCGGAAGGGACTGCAAGCTGACAGCATGCGGGAAAAGGACGATATTTAACACAGCAGGAACTAGAGGAGAAGCAGAAGAAAGCAGAATTGCTTATTGCTCTCTCCTAGGAACCCTGCTCAGTGCTTTGCAAAGATTCCCTTTCCTTCACCCCTGCCAATTTCCACAGCTGAATTTGGACCAGGAGCTCTTCCCCCCCTGCAACAGTGTAATGTTTAATAAAGAAAGAAATAGTTAAAAAGAATCCTTTCAAATTCTTTGCTGTTCAAGCAACTGCATCCCTTTGATCAAAAAATACAAAGCCCTTAGCCCTGACCTTCTGCTGAACTCCTGCCAATCACCGTAACACCGTCCTCTGAACGCGGAAAGCAGGAAGACAGCGGAGCCCTGTTTGCCTTGGGCTGTCATTTACTACACTACCTTTCGTGAAATTATTAAATTTCAATTCCTCGCTCAGTTGGTTTGGCACGAAGGCAAAACCATCAAGTGGGCCTTTTTCTTCCAAACCTGCAAACTCAACCCTGTTTTTAGATGAGCCCCTGTTTTTATGATACTGGATATTCATACTTCAGAGATAACACGGTGCTGTGGCCCCCACTTTATGCAGCACGTACAGACCAGACACAAAAGTATTTCGGTGCCTATTTTTTGTCAGTTACGAGCCCTCATTCCTACAGCTCCTCTGACTTAAATTCAACCAGATCGACCATTCCCATCAGGGACAACCCTCGTAACCATGTGCCCTCATGCTTTTGATCGCTGTGCAGACATCTGACCCAGCAGCAGCACTGTTGGACCCGGCCAGCATCCCAAGGACAATCCCAGACCAAAGGAAGGCCACGAGAAATGTAAGGGAAAGAACAGTTTGGAAGCTCTGCCTTTGTATTTTGAGATTTACATTAACAAAACCACAGGATTCACGTCTTTAGCTAAGAGATGAGGCTGTAGCCGCTGCGGAGAAGGGAGGGAGGCACCAACTCCACCTCCCTTCATCCAACTTCAGCTTTCCTTCAGTTTGAGGTAGGAATTAAACCCTTCTCATGCTCCCCCAAATAAACTCTTCGTGTTCTTTGTGGCAGGATTCTTGGGGGCAGGTTGCTGCACCCTTTTCAGGAAACATTTAAAGAGGAATCAAAGTGAAACACAGCTCAGGAAAATGTAAGTGGGAACTAAAAGGGAGAAGATAAAGGTCAGAAGAGTGTTTGTTTCCAGTTAGCTCAGAACAAACTCAGGTCAGGGATGCCCGGCTGCAGCCATTGCTGTTCCACAGGCTGCATTTCAGATCTGCCACAAACCGCGCTCCTCAACCTCTTCTTGTCGGACTGAATCCATCTCAGTCGAGAGCTGGTTTCAAGGACAGAGAGGATGGCGTTGCTGTCGCTAGGGGCCTTGATATTTCACACCTATTAAAAGCACCCATCCACCCTATCCAAAATTCACCGGTTTATTTTAAAGGGAAGAGCTGGAGTAAGGCAGATATTTTTTTGGTCTACCAGGGACGCACACAAATTGTTTCTTGCATGACTATAATTCCTGTTCATAGATAAAATGATTAACGTCCCCTGCTGTCAGCCCGGCGTGGAATTTGGATGCCTCCCTGCTACAAAATACATTTTCGCTGTCGTCAGATGGGTCGCAATGCCCCAAGGCAGGGCTAAGGGGGAAGAGCAGTGTGTGTGCATCTCAAAGAGAGCCAG